TAAAGAGTTCACTTACGTTTGCAGCTACCAAAGGCTTTGTGTTCCGACGCAGTTTGGTTGTCACTGGGTGCATGGACTTCGTGCTCCAATGGGCTTACTTAGATGACGTAACAAATAAAATGCGTCCACAACTGTAGAAGTTTTATACTGAGCGGAAAGCAAAGCCTTGGTTGTCATTACGCTTGGGTCTTTAGATGAGATGTAGTAAAGGCTGATGGTTTTTTTGATTTGTAAATAGGCGTTACAAGAAATGGAGGAACTGAAAAGCCATGGCGACAAATTGGACACAGAGATCAAGCAGTCCGAAAAGGAGTTAGAGGCTCTTCAGAATACGTTGTCACTTTTGAGAGAAAGCAATCGAACTTGTGAAAGCAGCCACCTCAAGACGGAACCTGATTTGGTTCAAACAAGAGATGCACTTGACCAAAGTTGTAAGGAAATGAAGAGTGTTATGAACAGAAAGAAGGAACAGGTCGTATGCATAAAGACCAGAGTTGAGGTAATGAGAATTTCATTTCCTGACAAGATCACTGCAGGAACTTCAACTAGCACTGGATGCAGCAGAGCAAGAATTTGAAAAGGAGCGACTCTGTGAAAATGGACTTCAAACAAGTAGATCCAAGTTGGAACAAAACACAAGCACTTTAAATCAACGAATTTTAAGAGCCACAAGATGCCTAACAAAATCAAAGGCATCTGCCCTACAGCATATGCATAAAGTGGGAAATTTAAATGAAACAGAAATACGTGCCGATATAGAGGTTTGCAATTTCGGTGGTTGTTTAACGCAGCTGCAGTTGAAATATCTAAGCTTTACAGTCTCTACGTTTGCATTCGGTAGTCAGAGGACAATAGTTCTACCACTTCGACCTTCTGTTGGAGTGGAAAACAAATTTGCACAGTGAAATTAGACTTATTGTTGACTGTTAGGTTATGTAAGGATTTGGTTCCCAACATAAATCCACAGGTCATTTACTTCAACACAATTTGAAGATGACACCTATTGATATAATACACTCAAGGCATTGAAGTAGACAAGGAGTAATGAACTGCCGATGCAGTACGCCTTCTGGTGATGCCACTGTGAGGAGTACAAGTGGTTCACTGCCCCAGATGCAAAAAAACACAGTCACTTAGACCATTTAAAAAGGCATTTTGAAATCATTTATTATCATTAAAATTGGCCGACTGTTATGAATGGAGAATAACGAGTTTCATCGAACGCTATAGCTACAACTGATGAGGGACCTCAACGATAAACTAGTGGCGCTAGCGATGAGTCAGTTGCGGAGCAAAAACTATCAAGATGATGTAGAGGTGTACGCCCATGCCTACTTCGCAGCTGCTGACATCACCACAGGCCCACGATGTTCATGGATAACTTCAAGGGACATCATGAGACTGTCGACTGGTGCCACCTCCATGAACTCTCCATGCTCTAGCACTGCTGCCACTACCACTCCCTTGCCCGATTCCACAAGGTAATTTACAGACGTACCTCAATTTCTGACCCACTCATAAATGACAGCATACCGTAAACGAACAGTGTAACATTTCGCTTCGCACACTCAAAGAAACCGACCATTTGTTTGAAGCTTTCCTGAGCATGCTAAACAAAAAATGGTCCAAACTCATGTTTGGTAGCCTTCGAGATTACCAAGAAGCGCATCCACGCTTGTTAAGTATGCAAGCATTAGTCTTCTGTTTGCCTTTTTTGTAAACGACCAATGGGTAGGCATAGAGGATAAGTAACAAATTTTCTATTGAGCGCTTCCATGCAAATCAAACCCTCATAGACCAATTAGACTTCCCAATACTGAATTCGATCTTGTTAGTTTCATTAACCTCTCCACGATTGCATTTATCAAACCTGAAGATCCACCTAGCTGCGGAAGGACTAACTAGAAATGGTCATTAGTGTTGCATTAAAGTTGACAACATAAGGCAGATATTACCTCACCCATGGCATTCCGCAAATGCCACTCGACTCCAAGTTGACAGTGAGGATGAAATCATATCAAGCTAGGCTTTTGCTTTAATATTGTGAGAATTTTAGCCCGCCTCTCCAGATAACAAAACGCCATGTGTAATTTCGCAAAACTGAACTAGATAAATTCAAGTGGTAATTAAAGCATCTTTTGTGTTAAACAATCTAGAGTTCCGAAACATGATGAGATAAAGTGCTAAGCGTCATTATTATAACCGCACTTGTGCTCACAGGAACGAACCAAGTGTCACACTCCTGGGTTAATGCGATCCCGTGAAAATGAAATATTTCCTCGACGGAACGGTTTACGTCAAGGTAGAACGTTCAAACACGTATCACCTTTAGCATCTACAGAACAGTCGTCAAAGAACTTAGGTGACTGAACATAGAATGATACAATACCCCAAGTTTTTATTAAAATAATAAGAGCAAGTAATGGGTGGAAATAATCTGCATGCATTAAATCATTAGCCCAGTTTTCGTGTACGTAGGGTGGCTCGTAAATACATTACATGGCAAGGGAACATTATAAAAAGGTTTGACAGTACCGCAGTCCTAGGGAAAGAATTGAAA